TTGCAGATACCCAACAACGAGAACTATATCTCTCGAATAATGCAAGTTGTCAACGTAAGGCCGAGGTTCAATACAGCTCGTATTGGTTGACTGGGAAACGTATATTATTACAATTAAGGATCCAATAAAATGCCAAATGAATAGACTTTGGGTTTGTCTGTAAAAATATGTGAATGTCGAAGAACTGGAGAAATGTGAAATGAAGGCCTTATGCCGCTGAAGCTTGATAGGCCTGGACTACGGTTGGGCTATTTTGTGATTACCCCGAGTTTTGTCTGGTGGTTTTGTAGCCATGCCCACATTAGAATGTACACACTCGTCAAGTCGGCGCTGGAAGAGCTCATCTTCCCTTAGGCCAGGCTTTCTGGAATAGTTCTACAAAGTAGTTTGAACGCTCAAGTGGGACCTATCAATTGGATCGTGGGAAACTTAGACGATCACTCCTCCGTCTATCACTTCATGTGATCCAGGCCGAATGACACTCTTTTTTCACAACGGGACTTCATGTTCTGGGCTTAACTCTTGGACATTGGTAGTCAAGACGACTGGGCAGCATGTAGCCTCGTGACAGCCTCGAACGTCGCCTGTACGGAGGGACTCGGGTTTGAGGTCAGAGAAACTCCACTGAGGCTCACATGTAGACGGCCGTGGTGACGGATGTGTCAACAACATGCTGGTCAACTCATCAGAAGGTCAAGGGGGAGGCCGATCGGCCATGACGACCTGCGATCTGGTGCAATCGCCACAGCCTCGTAACACCCTCCACCCGCCGAGTCCGGCTCTACCAGTAGCCCAGGCATCGGTACATGCTGCAAGCATTACAGAACAATCTGACCTTTTGACTGTCAAAGCCAATTGTGGTAGCCGTATGGAAGTGTGCAACAAACTTGGTCATCTGCCGCCAGACACACACATGCTGGTATCGGACCAGTTGTCGGTGTTTTAGTAGCCCGAGACTACGGAGCATGTGCAGGTGGAGACGAAACACACTCTGGGCGGTGGGCGGGTCCTCTTGACCCTGCCAACGTGTTAGGCAGCCCAAATTGCAGTCATTTCCGAGCAGATGCACCATAGAGGTGAGTACACAGGATGGATAGACTCAACAGGTCTGCCAAAAAACCGCACCTCAGAGGAGTGTAGCTTGGTTTCAGTACCTTCGCAGTGAGTAGGCTTTGAAGCTGGCAACAGATCGAGAATACAAACTGTATTCACGCTGAGTCAAGCCTGATGGTGGAATTTTTCCACAACTCCATCAAAGTTTACTTGCAGTTTCCACCTAGTCTGGGTTTCATCGGCATCCTCAACAGGACTCGAATCCTGCGATGTGTCGAGCACAAACGCTTGGCTAGTCAAATTAAAGTCGCGTCAGTGTGATCAAGCACGGCTAAAACTCTTGTTCTTCATTTTTATGAACAGGTTTTCAAGACTACCAGCAGCTCAGATAAATGAGACGTGAATTGTACCACAATCATAAGAGTTCTCATTGCTTCCCCAAACAGTATTCTCATTCAGGCAGAAATAAACTGCCATTTCGACCTCGGGTCAACTTGCCCCAGCGGGACTCGAACTGTGATAGGGCAACATATAATCTCGCCACCTTAACTACTACGCCACATTGCCACGAGTGCTCTCGTGGCTAATGTGCAAATGGGAATTGCAAGAAAGGCCAGGCCATTTCACATATCACATTCTGAGGTGGGATTGCCGATTGCCATAGCAATAGACTAGATTACCTATTTTCGTTTTTTACAAGTAGGCTTTTTGGGACAACCAGTAGATTTAGTCCCGAAAACCTACTTATAATAACTAAAAATAAATAATACACTCGAATAACATTGCAATGCCATCGAACAAAGTGATATGGAAAAATGTCTTGCCTTCTTCACATTGACCAATTATCCAGAACAACCCGAGTTCGAGTCCCGCTAAGGATACTGATAAGACTAGTTCATGCGGGGTCGAAACTGCAGTCCACCCAGCCTTGATGACAATATCTTTTTTTTTCAATGAAAACATAAAGTCTATTCATCTGATTATAGGAAAATTCAACTTCTAGCTCCTTTATCGCCTTAAACGAAATAGAGTGAATACACTTCACATAGAACTCATGTGTTTTGCAGCATTCACTTCGTGCGAAGGGTCGGGTTAGTGAATGTGGTGAACGAATGAAGGAGAAGTTCGACTTGGTTCGCCCGCGTCGATCATTTTCAGGGACACGAGAATGGGGCAAAACAGGCAGATTGCCTCGATCAGGCACCACTTGGGAATGTAGGATAACTGAAGGCTTGTAGATATAAAAATAACTGGGTTTCAACGAATCTCTTGAGATAAGAGTGTTTTTGAGACTTTGATTTTGTATGAAAGTGCATAAGAACCTTGTTCACCCTTTTTATTTTAAGGCGATGAGAGGCTGTTAGTTGAACTTTTCCACAATCCGATGAATAAGTCTCCCGTTTTCACTGAATTTCACAAAGCCCTGCTTCCCAAAAGGTAGTTCCATCCAGGCAGAAGTGGATCGCAGTTTCGACCTCGCCAGAACTGGTCGCATCAGCAGCCCCAAAGGGACTCGAACCCGGGCGTTGCAGCGGCTTCAATACTGCCTCCAGGTTGACGAGGTTCACGAGCCTAAGAAAACTCGTAAATGTGAAGACCAAGACTTTGTTACATCCGTTTTGTTATGACCTCGTCTTCGCAGCTTGATCGTGTTACCGGGGCGACATGTTCAAACGAGCTTTGTTCCAAGGTCATCTCTCAATAGTGGCCATGATTACTCCCTGTCAGACCTAAAAAATATACCGAGTCCACCTTCTGACGCTCGTAATGATCATAGCTACTGTAGTAGAAGGCTTAGGACAAGGTGCGTTTAACTAGGTCGCCATGACAACACGATCATGTTTCCAAAACGTGGTCAAACCACTTCTTACGCAATCTCGGTCGCACGTTTTCTTTGGCCGGAGTTTGCCCTCTCCTAATTATTCTGAATTCTGGTCGGTATTACATACTCTGACTTACACGCACACGCAGGTATAAGTAATCCTACCAAATAACTCAATATCTATCTATAGCTATATATATATATATATATATAGTCGTTTCTAGTTGTGAGCATATATAGTACGTGGAATAGAGCCGGATAACCTTAGTTAGCTGGAAGCTTTTGCAAAATGAGTTCTGATTTCAAAATGTATGCTCAAGTGGCGGAACGGATGAAAGCAAAGTCCAATTTGCCCCCAAATAAGGGAGGATGTATCGCGGATAGCATCACTCTGAAAGTCGTAGTCAAGCCGAAAGCAGCTGAAGAATAAACGGAATCAGCCGTCATCTTCTGGTGAGATAAAGCCACGAATCTTTTCTTCATGCACTTTCGTGCGATATCAAAGTCCCCACAACAACGAAGGCTTGTAAAGAGAAGTCAAACGGCTCCCTTTGACGACTTTCTTTAGGGGACAAACGTATCGAGGCTGCAGGGCTCGAACCAGTCACTATGTGGAGCATACCCACGATAGTAACCGGAGCATAATGCTTGGTGAACACCCAATGAATCCTAAGTTAAACCAAGCTGACGATCCATTTTAGCCAAATTGCCGCTCGGAAGGATGCATGAGAGTTCGGCAATACGCAATCTCATCTCATCTCATTTCATTTCATCTCCTCTCCTCTTTTCTTCTCTCTTCTTTTCTCCTCTCCTCTC